CCTTCTGTAAGAACTATATCCAATTTCAAAGCCGGCTTCCGATATTATCTACCCAATTATACCACAATCAAATCCAATAGCATCCATTCTAGGCCCAATGACCTCGTCTCATTCAACACGACCATTCTAGTGACATGACACAACAATACAATCTAAAGCCACAACCTGTGCAATCCGTGTACCACATAGCAACATCTCAAAAGTACCCAATCGTAACAATTACCCAAACAGGTGAACTGTTCCGTAAGCTCGACGGGTACCACCCTGACGCAATTCTAAGAACCCATCACACACCGCAAAACCATAACACACGGAGAAGAAAATGACACCATACCACACAAAACCCGAAAGAACATGACCAATACGCCATCAACCAAGCAATATCCAATACTATTCTCGCTCAAATTCTGCTATAAGGCCACAATAGAATCGCACCATATGTGCATGTAACCAACGAATCACAAATCCTTGTAGCATAGAAGAGTAACTCACAGATCATTTCAGAACATGAATAAGCTTCACACCAACCGAATGACACATCCTTCAACAATAGCAGTATGGAGCCAACCAATCCGGCTCGGTGTAGAATACACATCCTAATTGGGCCTACCAATGGGGCCCAAATCAACTTTAGTCAGCCACCAATAGATTAATAACCTCCGAAAGTCCACAATGACTGAATCATAACACATTCTCTCATCTGGCTAGCTCCGGCCACAACTTTACAGTCCACAACCATGAAACAATCTGCTCCTGAGAACTCCCAATCTCCAATTCCATAGAACACATGAACCACCCTATTTGATTCACCTCCACCGCCCGAATGCCTAATACCTCTCTCACACACAATCATTCTACGAGAAATACTTTAAAGATTCTTCCGTGCCACCTAGAAAAATTTGAATATCAGCAGTCGATCAACCGGGAGAGTGCCGCAATACCAGCGAAGTACCCATAAATCAAAACACACTGCCCCTTCTGAAATGTACACTCGCATCACGCCATACCAAATAGCAATATTATTTACCTAGTCATCTGAAACCGTCCATGCTGCCTAAGAATTTATGTCCTTCCCTTCAAAACTGAACTGTGACCTTGCACATGCAAATCTCAATCCTACACAACACACCACATCTATTATGACATTGTGTGACAAGCATAAGAATTCCATTAAAAGCTCTGAGTCACTAGCAAATTACATACCTTATTAAATTAGAAACCCTTTCTTGCTTCTTCTAGGAGGAAATCATAACACACAACACGTTCCGTACACCGGTAGAAAATATCCGGTTCAAACCATGGTAGAAACCATCATGAACACTTTGAAATCCATTTTCACATAACCAAGCTATCTGAACTGAATTCCTCTAACTCCACCAAGCCACACAGGTTGCCAAATCCGAGAGCATTGCCACGAAACACCTGCAGATACTAGCCACGTCATAAGTACCCAAAGAACCGATCATACCCATTTCTGTGCTAACCCAACCTACTACCGAGCTGTCCTATTTCTCCAAGTCCTTTCCAAATTGCCTTCAAATTGCTACTTTTTCCTTGTTAGAACACTACTATCCTTAACTAAAACTTGCCCCACGAACTCTAGCATAGAATCACACCGTCATAAGGCTTATAAGCTGCTGAATTCCCTTTTTATCTATCCCAAAGGTTCCACAACCAAAATGCTTACTCCAATGAGACTTTATGTGAACCTAAAACTGTTTCCTTCACCTTCTTGATACTGAAATGCATAATTCACAATGATATAAAATGCCACGAGTCTCGACACCGTTCAATACAACTCCCAGTTTTCTAGCCATATATATAAATCTTGAATCCATTGGAACCATTCTTGAGAGTCATACACTCTACTCAAATCTCGAATTAACCGACCAAACAGACCGAAACGACCTGTGCCCCATTAGCACACCAACATCCAAGGGAAATAAAGAGTAACCCACACTCCTACGCAACCGAGTAATTTCCCGCTCCATGTACACTACATTCTTCATGAATAACCACTCAATTATTTTATGGTCCTCCTATAACCATAGAGTGTAGTACAACTTGTGTCCAGAAATTCCTTTACCCGAGTCATCCTCGATCTCGATCTCGACCTCTACAAGTCATAACTGATTCACCAATATACCCCGGACCGAAACTAATAAGACACATAACTGTGCAATCAACTTGTCGATAGAAGACTCCCCCACTTAGCTTCAAGCTGCAATTATATAATATTAGAACCCGCAAGGATTTCTCCTTCTCAATTACCAAGATCTCGCACCGTTAACCCTCCAGACTTCTCGAAGTCTTTTGTTAAGCTTCTTATAAACATTCTGAATTGCCATCCACAATCACACACGCCGAAATCCGTAAATTCTCCTGAATTCATGCTCGCCCACCATTTGTATAAGTATGCACTTTCCCTATTGACATCAACTGTACGTTCAACAATACCTTCCGAACTCAAGTCATATTGCACCTGACACGATAATCAGATCTTCACGCCTCTCTTCATTTCAAACACACTCCTTTCTGCCCTATTCAATCTTGATTTGTACAGTAACCATCACTCCAATTAGAGTCTACAAGCCAAATCACATACTAACACGATTTCAAACCATTCTACACTCTTTCAAGGTGCACGACTACCCTACCATTTAATTCATATGTTAATCTGCCACTCTTACTTCGGTTAAATCATCTCCTTTAAGAAACTTCTCAACCTCTACTTCTCCTACTTGACCCGCTAGTACTTCAACCACCACGAAACGCTTCCCGTCATGTCTTCGCTCATTCATTGCTGCCCAATTGCTGCATGAACTCAAAATGCATCTCTGTCATACCAGAACCAATAGAATGCTACCGACTCTAAGTCTCTTTGAAGATTATCTTTCTCGAGCCATCAACATCAAAATACCCATTCGCAACTACCATTACTACACAACCACTTACTTTTCTTGAGTCCAACTCATTGACAGACATGAGAATTTAATTTGTCCCAAAATTTAACAACGTGAAAGATCCTTTAAAATATTCACACTCGAGACCGTGCGTCACATCAGAACGAAAATCAAGCACCCAATGGCCTTCCTTTACATTTCAAGAAAACACTTTTTGTCACATTCACATCGTCTTAACACCTCCCACGGTTATGTCATACTCACCACAAAGCTATCCCACAGCTCATCGAGCCACAATACCGAGCGCTCATGTGCACATACGAATTCGTGGAAGGAATTCAAGGAGTTATGTTCCATGATGAATCAATTTCGCATGATAGAATACAAGAAAGTAAAATTTTTCCTAAGGTTTCTACAGCCTCTCGAAGATAAGTACAGACGTCTCCGTACCGATCCGCAAGACTCTACTAAACCCACTCATGACTCGTGAGACCTATGTAACCTAGGCTCTGATACCAATATGTCACGACCCAAAAACCTAACCTGTCATGATGGCACCTATCGTGGTACTAGGCAAGCCGACTCATTCCAAAATAAAACCGGGAGTTCAAATCAAAACAAAAGTGCAGAAAAGAAAAGCCCGACATCGGGGTGTCACTAGTCATGAGCATCTACTACAATTTGTCTAACAATATCAAGACTAACTCAGTCTGGAAAATAGCTAAATACAACTAAAGGAAGATAAGAGGGAGAAGAGCAGGGCTGCAATTGCCAGGTAGCTACCTTGCTATCCTCGGGAAAATCTTCAACCAGAATAATCAACAACCGCTACCGTGTCCAGCTACATCTGGATCTGCACACAAGGTGTAGGGAGTAACGTGAGTATGCCAACTAAGTAAGTAACAACAATAAATAAAGACTGAGCAGTAGTGACGAGCAATAAAGCATATAACGTTCATATCAGAAAATCTTAGTAAAATACCACATACTTTTAAAATCAGGATTTGAATCAAAATATCTCGTTTAAACCCAGTTCCAGTAAAATTATTTAAAGATATTTTTCAACAGTTTTCAAACAGAGAAAAAATGCAAAGGTGAGCAAAAATGATGAAATCATAAACAGCCCCTCGGACAAACCTCACAATCACTCGTGCCACTCGGACATACCTCGCAATCACTCTTGCCACTCGGGCATACCTCACAATCACTCATGCCTCCCAGTTACTCAGCACTCGGCACTCGGCACTCGCACTCAGTAGGTACCTGCGTTCACTGGAGGTGTGTACAGACTCCGGAGGGGCTCCTT